GTAAAGTTGCCTCATGGCTCATCAGAAATTTAGTCAGCCAAATATGGACAAGACTGGAGTAGCAAGTTTGCTATTACTATTTATGTAGCTCTTTATTGTTTACTTTTTAAACATTTTACATTAAGAAAAATATGTTTTTATTGGTTTTAGAGAGAGGGAGAAAGAGAGAAAAACATTGATGCTAGGCGAACATCTGTCGGCTGCCTCCTGCATGCCACCTACTGGGGTTCAAGCCTGAAACCCTGGCTTGTGCCCTGACCAGGAATCAAACCAGTGACCTCTTAGTGCATGGATAGATGCTCGACCACTAAGCCACACTGGCTGGGCACATTTTTCATTTTTTATATTTTCAGATATTCTCTTTTAAATCCACTACCACTTTTTAACATAGGTAGATATTAATGTGAACATTAAGTATTGGGGTTGACTTAACCTTGGTTTCACATAACAGCCAGAACTTAGGCCATGGGCTTTTATTTCAAGTTCGTTGCTATTTCTGCTACATCATAGTTGTATTCTGTGAAAGAAGTGTTTTCTTGGAAGATATCTCTGAAATGTACTTTGTCTGAAGTTGGTTAATGGCTGTTTAAAGTTTAAAAATTTTATATTTTTATATGGGAAAACTGGGGATTCATATACAATAATTTGAATGTATTTCTCTAATGAGATAGTATTTTAGTTGGAATGTTTTCAGTTGCTTGGTTTAACAGCAGACAGATTAATATTTTTTAAGTTGTTAGCTATCCCCAAAGATACCCCCATGGAGTAGATTGTAATTTTGAAAACTACTGATTTGCGGGATTTTTCTCTCTAATTTTTTTTTCCACATTTTAGGCTCTATCAGCTTTTAGAAGGAGAGAATAAGAAAAAAGAATTGTTTATAACCCATGGAAACCTGGAGGAAATGGCTGAGAAATTAAAACAGGATGTTTCTTTAGTACAAGATCAATTGGCAGTATCTGCTCAAGAACATTCTTCCTTTCTGTCCAGACTGAAGAATGATGTGGACCTGCTTCGTGGTGCTTTGTATCAAGGAGGAAACCAGCTTTTGCTTAGTGATCAGGTGGGTGCTTGCTGTAGTAATTAAAAATGCTTTAAAAAATAATGTTCATGCCCGGCCGGGCGTGGCTCAGCAGTTGAGCATCAACCTGGGTTCCAGGCAGTCGGGGTTCAATTCCCTGTCAGGGCACATGCCCGGGTTGCGGGCTCAATCCCCAGTTGGGGATGTGCAGGAGGCAGCCAATCAATGACTCTCTTTCATCATTGATGTTTCTCTCCACCCCTCCCTCCATCCCCTCTTCCTCTCTCTGAAATTAATAAAGATATATTTTTAAAAAAATGTTGTAGGATATATTTATGTTTTAAATGCCAATCCTTTGTTATATATGTGTTATGTATTTACTCCTTATTTGTTGCTTGTCTTTTTATATCATTTATCACTCTCTTGATTACTTTTTTTTTTTTTTTTTCTAATCCTCCCCTGAGGAT